AAAAAAAAGGTAAAATATTACTATTCATGGGTACCAAGCGAAAATTCTTAAACAATGCTTTCCCTATATGCAAAATGTCATCTCTTAGGATAATAGTGTAAGGTTGCCACTTATATTCGATTCTACACAATTTATCTAAAACATCGCAATATGGATATGTAATGAAAGGTATTGTTAAGAACTTTGGTCAGAAAATATTTTCCAGCAGGGTTGCCACTTTTCCATGTAATACAAATTTTTATTTTGTTAATTTCAATCCACCTTTTTTTTTGTATACACAGTATATATACGCTCAAGATATGTAACATTCATTCCAGCTTATTTCATAATAGGGTTGCCACATAAATTTTAGAGTAAGGAATTTAATTAATAGATATCGAAATCCTATTTTTTTGTTTGTTTCCAAAATATCTTGAATATCTTGAAACCTTTAAAAAGTATATGCACTCCAGGCAAAGCTCGGCCAACCTGGTACGACAAGATATACATACGTTTTAGCAGACTTTTCTCAGCTTCTTGGGCAGGAATTTAATTGTGTGTCCTAATACGCGAAGTCTCTTTGTTGCCAGGAGGTTATTTGTATTATTTTATTTTCGTTCACCACTAGATCAATCTCATTTGGCTTGCTGTTGTTTTTTTTTTGCAAATTCACCAAAGTGTTCGTGGAGAATGGTGCTAGAGTAATAGTCTTTCGATTGGAAAACTGTGGTTCTCTTCAGAAGACTTCTAATATTGATATCCAATCGTTTATTTAGCCATTTTTTAATATCAAAAATTTTTTATTGGTCCCCCATTGCATTTCCTGGGGGTTTTGGAGGAGCTATAAAATATAGTTGCCATGAAAAAATTGTTAAAAAAAACAATTGAGTATTGCTACTGCGAGTCTCCTGAAGATAAGCAAAGTTTTCCGATCGAAAAATATTGATTTTCCAGAATTCTACACTATTTAAACGAAAAGTTGTTTTTTCCACATATAAAATACATGGAAAACTTTGAGCGTTTTAAGCACTCCCTAATTTTTTTTTCCAAATAAAAAAAATAGGGGTATACTTTCTTTCGGTATAGAACAATCCTAGGGGGTGGCGGCATTAAAAATCCAACCTTATTTTTTCACATACATTTATTGACCACTTTAATGTGCATACATATAAAATCAAGCAGGAAAAAAGTAGATTAACTATAATGCTTTGTTTTTTTTTTTTTAATTTCTGCCTTATGGCTCCTTGACAAGTTATCATGCCACTGACTTTAAAATAAATACAATGCTTACTTTTGTCTTAATATATAAACCGGCAAAGGCAAACAGCAGGTGATGGTCAGGTAAAAATTTACATACATACATACGTACGTACATATAAAATTCTAAACAGCGAATACTCAGTCAGTCGAGGAATTCAACACGAATGGTCACGTAATTTTTATCAGAATTTCACTAATTTTGATGTAGTTAATCACACATTTTTAACAATCAACAGAGTCATACAAACATGCCATACCATAAATACGTACATACTCAAATTAACTTTATGAATAGCGCCGCGTCTACTGTCGTAAAAACTAATAGGCCGAAAAACCGCTAAAAAATATTTTTCGATTTTATTGAGGTACAATACGTAAAAACCCAAAATTTATTTGATAATAATCACTTTACATGAATTATTATCAGAAAAAAGGTGAACTTTAAGGTATGAAGTTTATTGTGCTTATGCTTAAATATATTAGTCATTTACATACTTACATATGTAACATAAAATAACCGAAAGTTTGCTTTTGCTGAGTATGTATAAATAAATGATTATATGTATGCATGCATGTTTTCTGTCGTCGTATCGAAGGTATGGGATCTCATCAGAGACTTTGTTTTTCTTTTTATTGGAAAGGAGTTATCGCGAACGCGAGGTTTTTCATTTTCCCACTTTAGCTCGCCAATGCCAAACGGGCATTTCGTCACTAACCCGAGGATACGTGGATACATATCGAGCCCTAAACCGCCAAAATAACGTAAGCGACATTTTTTTCAAAATTTTTTTTGATGCAGAAATGCATCTAGATGCTCTAGGAATATTTCTGCATCAAAAAGAAAATTTTGTAAAAAATGTCGCTTACGTTATTTTGGCGGTTAGGGCTCGATATAAATATCCAGAGGTCATGGATTTCAACAGGTCGCTCCCTCTGATGAATGAAAATGATATATGTAGTTTTGTTTTGTTTGCTAAAAATTATATAGTTTTGTCTACTTAAACTTTTTTAAATTTACAAATATCAGTTCATCAAAAAAACATGTCAGATTTTAAGAAAACTGTATTACTGTTCTATGTAGCCACCTTTAGCGCGGATAATAGCAACGTGTCTGTCCGGGAATGCTTCACAGAATACACGAATGTGGTCTACTGGTATTTTGTATTGAACAGGACGTAAAGGTACACAAGGGCACGCAAAAAATGCGGTAGAAATCTTTGGACGTTTCAATAAGGCTCGCACCAACGCATAAAGTTTGCAAAATTGACGTTTTTTAGAGAACAAAAATTCCCAGCTTCATTTCTTCGCAACAATGGCCACCATATTCACCGAACTTAAGCCCAATGGATTTTTCCATATGGTTCATTCTCAAGGCCAAAGTATCAGCTAAAAGATTGCCTTGAAGATTGCTCTTTGCCCAGATCACATTCGTGCATTCGGTGAAGCATTCCCGGACAGACTCTGAACTGATATTTGTAAATTAAAAAAAAATAAAAATAGACAACAAACACGATATACAGTAACTCAAACAAATGACCATGTGTTGATTTTCTTCAAATATTCGTAATGTTTTCGAGATAAATTTTGTTTTGTTATTTTTAAATGAAAATATCGTTTAAGCTTTAACCAAAACCGTGTAAAAAATTCTGAATAAAAAGTTGAAATTTTGATGAAAATTTGTTGAATTTTCCTAAATTTTGTATAAAGTTTGAAACTGTGATTTACACGGTTTTGGTTAAAGTTTAGGCGTTATTTTTTATACAAAAACAACACAAAAATTTAGCCGGAAAAATATTACCAATATTAAAAAAAAAAACAAAAACAACACGTGGTCATTTGTTTGAGTCACTGTAGTTATTTTTAATGTGCTTACTTTTCAATAGGGTTGGAAAATAATCATTATTTTTTTATTTTATTTTAACCAAATAAATCAATGAGTTGTAATCGTCGTAAAACAATTTTAACTATAGGTACTCACGTAATTGTGTGCGTACGTCCTACTGTAATTTACAATGATTTTAATTTTTCGAGTTTATTCAATAAATATTAAAAAAATAATAATTAATATTTGAGTTTTATTTTTTCGGTCAAAAAAATTATTATTTTACGATTTTTATTTTTTCGTTCAAAGATAATAATTATTATGGAGTTTTATTTTTTCACTTAAGAATAATGATCATCTGTATAACTCAAAATCTATACCAGCATGATTTCCGACGTATCCTTTTCAGAGGATTCAAGTCGCAAAATTTTCAGGTAAAAATTTCAGTAGATTGCGTTTTTATTTTTGGGTGGAAAAATAAAACTCATAAAATAATTTTTATCTTTGAGCGAAAAAGTAAAAATCATAAAATAATGATTAAATGCTAATTTAAATTATTTTACTCAAAATTATTACCGTCCCTGCTTTTCAATTAATTAATATCATTTAAACAAATACCTATCAAAAGCGAATATAACTAAAACGAATATGCAACGTTTCAAATCGTTTATACAAACGCAAATGCAAATTTACTTTAGGTTTAAAGCAACCTGTCTGGTACGTTTATATGTGTATAAGTGCAACGTTTATTTTTTTCAGACAGATATCAGTGCAAATAAAATTGTGCATTGTTCAAACGTTTGTCCATATACATACATATGTATGAATGTACGTATACTTTTCATTTATATACCACTCATGATGCATAACCCAGTAAACGTTAATAAATCAATTAGGGTATTCATAAAGTGTGCTATTTTTCGTATTAGTGCTATCTGGTATTGTCATAACTAGGGCTTCGGAGCAAAGGTTTTTTTCCATGCTCCACTCCGGTAATTTATTTTGCTCCGAGCTACGCTCCCGCTCCAAATAAAATACTTTAACGAACTTCAAAAAAATGAGGCGGCTGTCGATTCGTCGGAATATTGTTTTTTTTTTATTGAGTTTTGTACCACGATTTGTTTGTTAGGAAAAATGGGGAAAAAAAACAACAAAATCTATGCGGCACATACACCCCGCAGCCAACGAGAGCACATCAGCATTTTTACCAGGTTTGACTATTTTTCTTTTGACTTTTTAAAGCTTATTATTTTTATATAAAAGTATAGCTCTTTATCTAACAAATACCGTATAAATCTAAATTTCAGACTTTGTACAAAAATTATAAAAATTCCATAAACTTTTCACCCCAATTCCATGCATTTTAGTTTTAATTTAGCTTATTAAATTCTAGTATAATAAGTAATTTTTTATATGGAAAAGAGTGCATAACATCGTCAGCAAAAAAATTATCAAAAATCCACGCGATTTTTTAGCAACTTATAACTTGCACTTTGCAAACATTTTTCTAGAAATTAAAATTAATTAGAAAAATAGTAAACACTAAAAAATTCAAAAGAAAAGTAGTCAAAACTGGTAAAAAATGTTGATGTGCTATCTTTTGTCGCGGGGTGTACTTATGCTTTAAGCTGCAAGCAGAAAAACTACCCGAAAATTGAACGCATAAACACATTTTTTTATTTTTTTTTTTGATGGAACCTTCCGCAAAAAAAATCTAAAAAATCAACGGAAATTTTTAGGCACTTGAAACTTGCACATTATAACACTAAAATTGAATTGGCTATAAAACTGTATACTCAAAAAAATTTTAGCACTACCGAGAAAAATGTTCGAACATTTGGATACAAATTTTTTGAATTTTTTTTTAGTTTTCTATCAAGTTTTAAACTTGGGTTTATATGGGTTTTTGTTAGAGAATTTCTTAAAAATAAATAAATAAACATAAGTGGGCAAACAATATCACTTTGAAATTGGGGTACTATTAATATGACCGATACTGTATGCATTTATAAAACAGGAAGAAGTTAAAAGGGCACAAATGCTGTCACACGTCACCCCGCAATCAAAGACAATCAAAATAAATACATACATACATACGTATGTATGTACCTACATACATGCATTACAGTACAACAATAAATTAAATATTTGCTCACGAGTGTACAAGTTGCAAAAAAAAAAACACGCAGATAACACAAGAACACACCCACAACTAAGTGAACATCTAACATGTATTTTGTGATCATTAAAGGCTTCATTATCGCATTGATATGCATATTGCTTCAATAGTTGATTGGCCAAGCGCGCAACTTCAGCGGATGAATGTACATAAAAGACTTGGCATTGAAACGAGGAGTAAAACAGTTGGTGTGGGAATACGATCGCGTCAAGACGGTGTGGCCGGTGGTTCAAGGAAGTGTGGTTGATTTTGTAAAAGAATAAAACAAACAAAAAAAAAAACGACAAATACGTTACAACTGTTGGTGCAGATCGAAACGGATCGAATATGTCACAAGAGTACAGTATTTCTGAGATTGCACAAAATAATGGACGCGACGGCAAACCAGTGTGGATTATTTTTAAAGATGGCGTTTACGATGTCACGAAATTCCTGAATGATGTACGTACAAAAAAAAAAAAAAAATATTAGTTCAATAATTTGTTGTAAACGTGAAAAGAGAAAAAAATGTTTAGGATGTTTAGTAGCAGCTCAATGATTCGAAAACTATACATACAGTGCTATTGTGTTTCTAATGCCAGTGGAATTAACTTATCTAATACTAAGTTTTGTTGACAAACTTGATAAAAGTTAGTTTTTAAAGAATCGCGTAAAGACTTTTACTGCGCTGTGTTTTGGAATTAATTTCCGGCATCCCCAGTTAAATTTAGTTTTGCAAACTAATCGGTTGTAGTATGAATGTCAAACAGAAGACGTTGAAGAAAGTTTTGTTTTCACAGTTTGGGTTGCCACCTGTTTAGAAGAGTTAAAATCAATTCAATTAACAATTTAAACAAAGTATGACAATATGGTTCACACAAATCAATTTTGAGAAGGCTTAAATTCGACACAATTTTTGAATAGAGTTGCCACCTTTTTAGTAGTCAAATTTCATTAAATTTAAGTGGCTTAAGAAAGCTTTGTTGCGCAAGTATTGCATTGCATGTACATGCGTACGAAGAGAGTTGCCACCTGTTCAAAAAGTTTAACTAAATTTAGTTAATAAGTAAAGTATACCGATGTCAAACGAAAGGGGTTAAAAATTAAAAATAGCACTAAAGATGGCATAAAGCCGAAACCGGTTTGCCTGTAAACTAAATTTGACAAGCGATGACGGAAAACGTTAAACAATATATCATAAAGGCTCAGTAATTTGTAGAGAACATGTTTTTGAAGAGGGTTGCCACCTATTTGAAAAGGAATTAATACTTTAACTAAAATATTTTAATCGCTCTAAAATATCTTGAAATCAGCTTTTTCAAAACTTGATTATTTTTCTGCTTAAGCTAAATAAACTATAGCAATACGACAAAAGGTAATGAGCACTACTTCGCTTCATTATTCTTTCGGCTTTGGTAGACAATCAACCTGGCGTCACTTAGCATCCGCTGTGACAGCAAAAATCTCTATTTATTTTCTGTTACATTTGAAAGCATAACGTCAGTCATTTTAATCACAAAACCTTTTGCTGAAAAGATAAATACGTCCATAAATTGGTTTTCGTGGTATTTATTAATTTATGGCTGCGCTTAATAAAACGTCTGCTATCGAAATACGCTTTGGACATGAGCAGCTGTACTTAACAGTTAAATTTTTTAATGGCGTTTTCGTTTCCACAAAAAATGTTGCCTTCTCATCGCCCTCTTCTTAGTGTTTGTGCGTAGATGGCAAAGAGAAGGTTGCATTTATCGGTAGAAACGAAATCGGCATAATACGTACATATGTATGTACATATTTATGTAGTTGTTTCGTAACTTAAAAAAAAAAAAATCAGACTACCAAAACAAATAAATTATTTTAATCAGGGACCGTAAGAGTTGTGATCTTTATAATAAAATCTATAACTTAACCGTTAAAGTTGGTTGTCTTATTCTACCATCAAATTTAACCGTTATTTTGTGATTTTTTCGATCGTTATTTTTTATCGCTATTTTTGATTTTGCTTTTTTTCAATAATATTATAACTGTTATTCTCAGATTTATCTTTATCATTTAAAACTTTTGAACTTTAAAACAAACCTATTTACATACATACTAAAATGCAAAAATCATTTGTCAAACAAAAAAAAAACTACCTACGTGCGCTGTCCCTTTTACCCAATGATCACGATTGTCATTGCAAAAAAAAAGAAAAAAACTAATCCCTTGACTAACAAAACAGCTCTTAGTTAGCTCAGCTTATTAGTCGGAGAAATCGACGAGGCACTTCATGTGTTTTATTAAGCATTAAAGTATTTGTTACCCAAAATTATACTTGAATACGAGTATCAATTGAGTGAACCACTTTGACATATTTTCAAATATATCCAAGTCAAGTATGGCGACAATTTCGAGATAGGCAGTCATTATACCATAAATACTATGTAGCTAGATAATCATCAAACAAGTGAGAACTTTAAGTTTAAGTGACTCAGTACACAGAAATTCGATAGACGAGCGGCCTTATTTTAACGTTTCAAAACAAGTTCATTAACTCAGATATATGTATGTTATACATGTATACATACTATATTAGTGTGCCTCAAAGAGTTGCGGGGTTTCCACTGAAATTATAAAATTTATATTTTAAGACAAAAATCTCCTTTTAAGCTTAAAAACTTCTATCATTTGAGGTGATTTCTTTTGATTATTTGTAAATATATTTTTTTTTTATAAAAAAACTCGGTGAAAGTCTTCAAATATAATGGGTCTAATCATTGAACTCGTGTCGATCGGAAATCATTAAATTTTCCTATTATTTTCTATACAAAAATTTCAAATTTTTCGATCGACACGAGTTCAATGATTAGACCCAATAAATTTTATCATTCCGATGGAAAAACAGTACCGTTGTTTATTTTTTTTTGTATGGAGAGTGACGCGTCCTCATGTTCAAGTTCGTCGATCCAAAGAATCGACCGATTGAAACTGAAATTATTTAAGAAATTACAGTGCATTGGATCCAGTGAATTATTTGACGATCGATCTACTTTTCTATCTCTAGCACTGTAGAAAATTTTGAGTATACAACTTTTGAACCCAGGTCCTGCTGAACGGAAATTATTAAAAATCGATGCAATTTTTTAGCCGCTCAAAACTTGCATTTATTTTACTAGAATTTTATAAGCTTGTCAACTGCATACCCAAAAAATTTCTAAAAATTCTGGTTAAAAACCTCGAAATTTAGATTAAAATTTGTGTCCTGAGCAAAATTTGAAAGTGTGATTTATATAGTTTTTGTTAAATCATTAACCATATTTTTATATAAAAAAAAATATAACATTTTAGCTTGAAAAACATTGTAAATATTAAAAACGAAACACCATTCAACCATTTTTGACCGCCACTGTACATTTATACGTACCTCTACAACATTTCTCTTAGCAATAAATTTTATTTAATTAAGAAAAATAAAAGAAAATTTATTGCATTTTAATAAATATTTATATTAATCGATACATTTTTTTTTTATTTCTTTAGCATCCTGGCGGTGAAGCTTCACTACTCGAATATGCTGGTAAGGATGCTACAAAAGCCTTCAATGAAGTGGGTCATTCAACTGACGCCGTAAAGGAAATGAAATCATATAAGATTGGTGTTCTTAGAACGGAGGTAAGACAAATAACATTTAAATGTACATACATCTTACATACACATGTATAAATCTGCACACACAATGTATGTATGTATGTATAAGTACATACATCTGATTTGCGGAAATTCCCCTAAGATATGTATGTACATAGGTGAATCTTTGCTCAACTCGGTCACGGACATAGTAGGTAATTAAAGTTTGTTTGCAATACTGTTGCAAAGTGATAGCGACATTTATCAAGATGAATTTGAAAGAATAACTTTTTTGTTTTTAAAAGTTTGCTTATTACACACAAAAACTTTAAACTTCAATACGATTTTTTTAATTTTTTTTTTAATTTTTATTAAAGTGACATCTTAACCTACCAATATGGTAAAATAAAATTTGAAATATTGAATAAGTACCCAACGTTTTAGTGTTTTACAGAAAAAACTTTCGCTCTCGACTTATGCTGTTCTTTCAAATAACTGCGGATATAGCACGTGCATATGTATACATACATATGCATATAAACGTATAGACAATATAAAAGTTGCGTCAAATTATGTTATCTAACAGCTATATATGTTTTGTAATACAGTGAAATCTCTTAAAGAAGAACCTGAAAAACTGAGCAACACCCTGTCATATAGAAAAATTGCTGAAGTAGATTGTATTTAATTGTTTTAAGTAAGAAAGAAATAATATAATAATATAAATTGACTTATCCAAAATGATGCAAACAGAAGGATAATAATTGTCATGTTAAAAATTATATCGTCGGCACACAAATTATTACAATTTTATTGTATCTAGTACATAAGTATGTACGTATCTTTAAAAATGATATTCTGAAAAATTAATACTATGTATTTAAATAATACTAGAACACCTTCCTAAAAAAATATCAATTGTGGTACTTAGCCCAAAATAAGCGTTCTTAACGAATTTTGCGAAAATAGACAAAAATTAGTTTAAACTGAACGGAATCGACTGTAATTAGCATACTAAAACCCAATGCACACTACCTAGTTGAAAGATAAAACTTGGAACATCAAAACTAAACGATAGCTAATATAAGATTACCAAAAAAAAAAACAACATTTAAAAAAAAGATCTATTTTGACTGTTAACATTTAATTTCTTCTTTTCAGAACACACAAATAATTAACAGCCAGCCCGCGCCTGCATCCAGTGATTTGAGTGCGAAACAGCCGTCAGAAAATTACTCTACACCAAAAAAGAAACCAGCTAAGTTTTGCTTTTGCTGTTAAGCAAAAAAAAAACGCAACAATTTGCCTGTCTGTGATGCCACTGAAAATCGCTGAGGTTTAAAAATAATTTATTTGTACGTTGGCATATGTATGTATGTACATATACATATGTATATGCAGCAAAAGTCAACATATTTATGTACATACATAAATAGCGCTTAATCATTTTCATCTCCATAATTGTAATTCTATGTCCATCTTCATGTAGATTAAAAATATTTATACTAAACACGCAAATCTTATGTGTATTTTAAATGTTATTTATTTACTTCTCTTACATTTTATAATGTGGTTTGAATTCGATCTTATATACATAACAGTAAAGTTTAATTTACGTTACAAAATATAAAATTAAATAATTATAGATAAGTGTAATATGCCAATAAATGCATTTTTTAAATACACTCTTTTAAAGATTTTTTACTATACTTCTTTTCTCCCTTAAAATTGTACATATTTTTCCCTTATAGCTTTTTCGTTAATTTGCGCTCATATTGCAAAAGATAAAACCCAGCAACTGTTTCCTAAATAACGCTGTTAGTAAGTAAAACAAATTCAGCTCAGTTGACATTGGAACGTTATGGACTATACATATATCTTCAGTCTCATGCTTCAGCCGATTTTTCCTCCACGGCATCTGGTGTGTTAATTTGCAATATGGAACAGGCATTATCGAACGGCTCCGTTGAAAAACTGGAAACATTGGCTGCACTATGCCGCAGGTAATGATAGAAACGAGTTGAGCGTCGCTCCTGCATGGCGCGTTGTTTCTCGCTGCGACAGATCGCACGCAACGCTGGTTCAACATCTAAAGCTCGTGTACGCTGACTGCGCGAACCAAATACGCTGCTGTTTATGTAGTCGCAAAGCGAAAGCCTTAATAAAAAATAGAGATATAATTTTCATATATTGTACATCTCTAAGTATCTGCGATATTACGTTTATAATTTTACCTTCACTCTAATCTTAAGTAAATCTCTTTTTTTACATTAAATGTTATTTTAGTGCATTTTTTCATTACACATGTACTAAAAATTTTTGCGAAATTTTCCCAGACAGCAAAAATAATCAGAAAAACGAGCCGAAAAGGGGAAGAAAGTGGATGAAGTGCGGATTTTTGTCCATTTACCGATTCCATTTTCGGATACTTTGACGATCCGGTTTCCACTAAAGTGTGCGGCAGAAACGTATGTACAGTCAAGTACCGAAAATTGTTTGTGAAACAGATTCTTTATTTACCTTCCTTTTATTAGCTCGGGATGTAACTATGTAATATTGATGCGCCTAAAAGATGCAGCGATTTCTATTCTCAAGTTAGATACTTGAGCACAGTACGAATGGCAATTATAATAGGGAGGTTCTAGTTTGTTAAACTATAATTTTTTCTGAAATTTTCTGATTGAATTTTTCGTTCAATACGCTTTCCTTCTGCACTTTACAGATACTTTTTCATGGTTAAAAAAAAAATATATATAATTTAATAAAGGAAGCGAATTCGAACTCGGCACCTTCTGGAAGTTAACAAATAGCGGTACGCTCCCCTCCACGCTTAGCCACTGCCGACTACCCATGCATGTATTCAAATGTTCAGCTTGAACAAATAAAATATAATTATTGCTTTCAAATAACATCATCTTTTTTGACCGTTTTCCGGATACGAAAATGAATCATAACTGTAGTCGTTTTGTATTCGTTTCCGGATACGGAAAATTGTACTAGACAGTACTGTCGGCAAAATTTACGTTTCTCTGCAGGCTGGGTCATAGCAAAAAAAAACAAAAAATCGACAAACTTAAACTCTTTAAGAATACAAAAAGTATACTAACACGTGCATATGTATGAAATCGACCGCGTCACGGACCAAGGTTAATTTGCAAAAAAAAAAGGGGAGCTACAGGCAGGTTCTGCAATTCACTTTCGAGTGAATTTCAATCAAACTCGCTTTGAATTCAAATTGGCAGGGGTTGAAATTCACTCGAAATTGAATTGCAGAACCTGCCCGATAGTCGTTGAGCCGTGCAATAGATTTTATAAGGAGATAAACTCTATGTACGGTATTGTCTGAGTATAGAGCCCAGTATTTTCAAGCCGCAGTACAACTGGGAGCACCCATTAATTTATATATCTGCATTAATTTAAAACTTTAAGTCATTACATGAAAATTTTATATTATGAAAGCATTTCAGAGTTAGAAATTTGCTCCCTAGATATATTATTATAAAAATAATTTCATGTTCTTTCTTAATTGAAATTCATAGGCATGTGAGTAATTGCAAAAAAAAAAAAATATTATAATTTTCAAAACAATTTTTCCCACTTTGCTATAAAAACATTAATATACTTTTAAATGTAATATCAGATCCACTTACCGTTCTGTACGCGTATTGAAGAGATTGTACGGGCATGCCTTCGCTTCCAAATTCACGCTTATCGCCTCCTCCACTATCCCGTGAGCAATGTGCTCCGACAGATGTGGCATCAACCGATCGACACCCATATCAGCACCCCCACCCGTTATACCATTCCTATAAATAGCTCCTCCACTGCCCTCGGACATGTCAGCATTATGGGTACCCAACAATGCAGCAATCGAAATGTTTTCATAAAAGTCACACATCACATCCAGTGGTGACTTAGTGTCTTGCGGGCGATTAACTTCAATTTCAGTTACCGAACTGTTAATGCAAGTTTTCTTCGGCGTACGTGTTCTACGTTTAGTTGCACTAAATTTTTCACTGCCAATCTTCTTAGCGCCTTTTTCACTGTTCTCAATTACACACTCTGGTTGCATGTGTAATCGTTGCGAGCACTGAAACACTTCGGTTAAGTTGACGCGTAACAAGCTGAGATCAACTGGAAATGGTATGCGCCACTGCTCATTTTGGTTGCAAGTGAAATACTCGAACAACGAACGGTGTATGTATACATTCTTAGTAGAACTGTTTTTCTTATCGCTTCTTCCGAGTTGCTCATCCGGCTCCTGAGGTTGCTGCGAATTCTCTTCATCTGATAAACGACATTTTGTTGGCGATGCAAAGAAACCCGATTCGCGTCTTATGCCTTCAACCTTTTGCGGTGTGCGATGTTGCGATTCATTTTTAACATTTGCCGCTACTGCTGTTTGTCTACGATCGCCACCGCTCTGTATGAAAAACTGCAACTCTAGCAAAGTGCGTCGCAAATCTTTACGATTGAATAAATATAGAGACACTAAATCATCCAGATTGATGGGACAGTTTTCAATCAGCGATAAAACGGCCATAAATCGTGATATGTTAAGCGCATTTGGTGGCGTGAAACATATTGTATTTTGATTCATTAGACGTTGTAAATGCAGGCAATTGGGATTCGTAGCCATTACAATGACAGGTCTCTTGGAGCTTGCTGCCAAAGTATAGATGGCATCCGTAAACCCGCTGTCAAGCTGATCAAAAACCACATCCGCATCTTCGATTAGTATCAAACATTTTCGCGTGTTTTGAGTGATGTCTGCATTGCAGCCACCGTTACTGTCAGCATCCAATTGGCTCTGAGAGTTTTGCTTTTTTAGTTTCTGGCCGTTCAGGGACATTCGTAGTAAATTTTTCTGCGCTTTGCTGGAACTTTGTGTGGGTGTCGAGTCTTTGCGAATTTGATGCGACTGTGTTGCTTCCTAGGAATTAGTTAAGGACAATATATATAAGTTAAAATTTTGAGAGTACTTTAATTTTTTGTTTTAATCATTTGTACTTTTTGCATGAGTCTTACCTGCAATTCTTGTATTAAACGCTTTCCCGTACGCTTCATACCAGCATTTATTTCCAGCACATTGAAATTCATATCATTTGCCAGCGCGTAAACCGCATTCGTTTTGCCACTTGACACCGGCCCTAGCAACACCACAGCATTGCTCGTCGCATTGCTTATGCTCGACGTCGAGTCATTAGACTCATCGAAAGAATCATCCATTGTTTGTGAATTGCGTGCACTCCCCACATTACCATTGACCCATGTAGCTAGAAAATCACGCAACTGTGTGACCGGCACTAGATTCACAAGCACTTGTTCAACTAGCATTGGTTTATACTTTTCTGTGAACAAAAGCTCTCCATTGGGTGCTGTTGCTGGTGGCTTTATATCATCTTGCTCAGCGGTAGAACTTACAGCTTCTGTATCACGTCTACGCTGCGATCGACGCGTTACAACCAACGATTCACTCACTTGTTCCATATCTTGTGCTGAATCCAAAGCACTAAAAAAGCGATATTTTTCGCGCATTTGATTGTAACACTTAAAGGTGGGAAAGCGATCGAATTCCGACTTCCAAAATTTTATTATAGCTCGTTTATTCTCAACTGTTGGCAATAGGGTACACATTGGCGGTGTCGTTTTCTTAAGGCTAAGGTCAGTTTTCTTTGCTGCTTTAATTTTTCTGGTACTTCCTGTATTGCTGCTAGATCTCCGTCTACGTCCCTTGCCATTTATTATCAGCGATAAATCCATAGCAGATCTGTCAAAGTTATCGTCATCATTGGGCTTCAATTTGAAATTGAAATCGCGTTTAACAAGTAAAAATTCCGTGTCCTCAATAGTTAATTGTTGCACATGACAAACACGTGGGAAATAATCCAGCTCTTCTTCATAAGTTTGTTCATATTGTTTTTGTTTCTCCATTTCCAAACGCATTTTTTCCGGTACACCTGACATTAGAAAATCTTGTCGCGCTTTCATTGCAATTGGATCTGGGCTGGGTTTCGGTACTGCGCGAACAAAAAGTGGCGCTAACTTCTTTGGCAATTTCTCTGTTGAGGCCGACATATCGCTATCATCTAAATCTATTATTACTTCTTCCCTGCTAGAGATTTCACCCTGTTTAGCCTTTGTGATACCTTTTTTCGTTGAATTTGGATTTAATTTGGTCGGACTTTTTTCTAAATCATAGTCATAGCGCGCTTTACCAGCGCAAGAACGCTTTGGTCTTCCGCAGGGTGTGTTTTCAACCGGTTCCGGAACAACTTGTTCTACGGGTTGGAGTTTCTCTTCTGTTAGAGGTGTAGCAGGCGTAGTTGCCGCTTCAGTGGGTAGTACAGAACTGCTTTCAGTAGAACGTCGTGAACGCGAATTTCGAGTTTCTAATTTGGATAGATTCTTACTTTTTGCTATGGTCTCTTTTAAATTTTTTGCAGCTACATCTGATGGCGATTCTTTCCGTGGGAAATAACCCAAAATACTATCCCGTTTTTTAGCGGGGGAATTAAGTTTAGATAAAAATTCTTCAGTCTCTGCGTCTGGTTCTACGACCGCTTCATTATCCGTAGATTCGACGGACAAAAGTCGTTTTGTTATTCGCTTCTTGCGTTTAGTTTTTTCGATACTTTGGTTTGCTAATTTTTCAGAGTTATTTGTTTTTTTGACCTTCCTTCTCCGATCATTTGATGCTCGACTGGTAGGAGTATTATCTTGTATTGGTGATGCTCCTTGCACGAGCATTTGTTTAAGCCTTAAATACAAGTTAAATTTTAAAATTACTGTGGACTGTTCTATTGTTCTTAATTTGGGTGAATATATTTGACATATCTTACCGCTTTGCACGATTCTCCAGTTCATGTTCAACGTACGCAGCTCGTGTTTCTTCTTCTAATTTGCGCTTTGCGCCACCCTTTTTGTTAGCCCACTCTTGCAGCATTAATTTGCGTTTTGTGTTGATTGCCGATTCTTGACTGTTGTTTGGTGAGGTTTCTTTTCCAGGCGTATTGGATCCGATCGTTTTATTTCTAGCATTCATCATAACCTCAAAAGCATTCATGGTTTTTGGTTGTTTTGCCGAGGACGAAGTTCCGGCAGTATCCATTTTCGTCACAGTCGCATCATCTGCACCTAGCTGATTTTTATTAGGGGTTCGTTGGAAATGCCGTAGAATATCCCCATCGGGCGAAGGAGTTTTTAGAGGACTTTTGTTATCTAGATGCTTGCTTTTTCGGCGACTATTAGAGGAAGCTTTCTGTCCGTTTTCCTGAACAGATTTTTCTTGGAGTGGTTTAGTTTTCGAACGCTTTCCAATAGATTTTTCGCCATTTTCCGCATTTCCTGAATGTCCACTAGTCTTTTCAATTAACTTTTCATTACCAATCTCTTTGTCCTCTGTTCCATCAGTTTTTTCTAATTCCGCGGTAGCAATAGCGACTGCTGCTGCTTCCATTTCGGCCAGTTTTCTCTGCTCTCGTTTCCTTTTATGCTTCTGTCTGTGTTTCTTCTTCACAGAGTTTAAAACTTCTTCCATATTCTGAAGTATAAGCTTGGAATCTGGACGAGGCGCTTTGACGATATATTTGCAAACTGCTTCAGCATCACCATCTTGTACTGGAGCAATGTTAGCTTCTGGATTCTGACCCCCGAATCTGAATGGTGATTCGTAATTGGTTTCAACAGCAATTTTAAGATCTCGTTCCTCACTTGCAAAGTTTGGATTTAAATCTGTCATGCTCATACGCTATTTGTAAAAAAAGCTAAGCAAAGCATGGATTTTCTCAAGCGTTTGCCTTAAAAATATGGTAAGTACATAATTAAAAAAGCACTAAGCAAAATTTTGCGTACCTTTATGTGACTACAAGCAATTAAAATATGCTGACCGAAGAAAATCGCGCATGCATCGGCGTTTACTACAAACTAGAAAGAAATCAAAAAGAACGTGGTTGCTCATAAGCATCCACTTTGCAGGCAGTGGGAATTTTGTGTTTCGCGGTTTCAGAGCTATGTGGCAAATATATTTATTACCTTTGTTATAAAAAAAATATAAGCGAAAACTAAATTAACTCAAAAAGTTATAAAAAAATTACATTACTGCTGTGAATCCGTTGGCAGCTTATGTCAAATGGTAGAAATTGGCGCGAAAGGTACAATAAAATAGCACTGAACATCCGCAATGTTGAAAAGGCTGCACTATTCAAGAGGTTGTCAGACGTTGCAACGAAATATATTGCGAAAAGGCTGTCAAATTGTGAAATTTCCTGGGAAAAGAACTATATTTTGCTTTTCACATGTAACTACTAAGAACCGCCTATTTCAGTTCCTTCAATCATTAGCTTTGTTTCTTAGCAGATATTTATCACAAATTATCACTAATTTCTGCTGGAAAGCGTTTCTTAACCCAAAAAACTAGCAGAAACTAGCGGCCCTATTTCGTTCTTACACTATTCTTTTTTTTGGCTCTCCTGCTAATTTCTGCTAGTAAAATTTTTACTAGTTTGCATTTAAGTGACAAAAAAAAAACAACTCGAATCAGCTGTTTCTCAAATTCTGGGCACGAAATGCGGTTTTTTGCGTTCCCGTACTTTTGCATTATGTTCCTTTTTTGAGAGCAAACTTTTCGCTTATTCTCTAATTACCGGATCCGGTCCGGATTATTAGGGAAAGAACTTGGTGACATACCATGTTCTTTCCCGGTAATTAGAGAATAAGCGAAAAGTTTGGAACATAATCCAGAAGAACGGGCAAAGAACGTAAATCTATTGGTTTACCTTCTTTGGTACGGGAACGCAAAATACCATATTTCGTGCCCCGAATTTGAGAAACAGCTGATTCGCGATGTTTTTGTTTTTGTCACTTAAATGCAAACTCTTGTAAATTAAATTTTTGTTTCACAAATTTGATTTTAAGCATATAACGATTGAAAATACATTCACTATTCGTTAAAAGCACCAGGTAAATGCAGGCAACGTGTAAACACAAAACAGCTGATATGCACTTTATCCATTTTTACCCGGAGAAATAGTCTGGGCTCTTTCCGGCAGGAAAAAGAAGACACTTACGATCCAATACGTTCCAATATTCGCTCTCTATTACCCATTTACGTTATGGCTTTCAATTTGGATGATTTTTGACAAGCAATGAATGTGAGGAAATTGAAAGGCAAATCTGATTGTGTGTCGTTAGCATTATTAAATACATGTTGGTAAGCACAAATATGCGCTCAAAAATTGCTTTAATTTTTTTTTCATTTTGCTTCGTCTTCATATTCAGAACTTGTGAAGTTGGATCACATGAACCGTTGGATCATGTATCGAACTGTACCCTAAATTTTTAATAAACAGTTGGATACACAGACCGTTTGGGTGGTGTATTGCGCCAATTAGCATAACGGCTGTCATTTCACAATTTTCTGCAAAACATCAAAATATAAGAGAAGGACAACAAAAAGAAGCAGGACTGTCCAATTGGCAAAAACTTTTAAGACGTGTGTAAATTTAATTCGAGTCGACTTGTTTCTTTCATTAATTTAAAACAATTAAATTCGGTAACTTTTATCAAAAAATTTCAAGTGTATTTCAGCAGGCTATAATGGAGACGGATTTAGGTGATGAAATGCAAATGCATGAGGAGCAAAAAGAAAATATAACTGACAAAGAGAAAGCTGAACATGAAGGCGCAAGCAGCATCAAAAAAGAGGATATTGAAAACAAAAATAAATCATTTTTGGATATGGTTCCCTCGCAGGCCAATCCTTTGGTTTCAACCTTAAAACCGGAAGATCGCAATATAGAAGAACCATTGGCGGTACCGGATGGTGTGTCAGAAAATATCGATTTACCTTCTACAAGTGGTTGTGATTTGGCAAAAATAAAAATTCAGGATTCTGCTGAAAAATCTGCTGCTCATAAAAATTTTACCAAAAAAATTGCCACGCTTCAAGAAAAATCAAAAAATGTACGGGCTAAATTAGGATTGCATCGGCGTGAATTACAGCAGCAGTGTGCTCTTGTTTCGCAATCGCCCCAAGTTTGTCACATCAATGACAGGTTGGCAGCAAAAGCAATGACTGCTTTGCGTGCCAACACATCTCGTGGCACTGATAATTCGCAAACACCTAGCACAGCTACGCAGTCTGCATTTGAAGTTAATGCAAATGCAAACAGTTCAACTGTACAACATCAGCGTCCTTCACGACGAGATCTGCAGGAACAATTGGAAGGTTTGCAAGAGCTACTTAATCAACTGACTCATAAAAATCCTCAGCTGAAAGAGTGCGTCCAAGAATTAGCGCAAGGTAATCCCAAACTACGCCAACTTGATCTCTTTGCAGCGGTTGGGCCAGAAAAAGCCATTAGGGCATCTGAACCTGTACCAAGCGTTTCCCGATCTGAGAGTAACGCAAAACAAAGGCGAGAATCAGAATTATCTAATGCCAGCACGACAACATCACAAAAGGATACAGCTACCAATACAAATGACAACAGCAATGGTGCACAGAAAAGCAGTCGAAAACGCGCACGTAACCGTAAAAATAAGACCATCAAACCCAGTAAAAGCCAGGCAAGTGAACAGGAAGCATTGTGTAAATACATAAATAGCATTGTGAGCCAATATTTAGGCGTAGAGAAAAAACAAAAGGCCGATGAACTGGAATTTAAAGGCACCTTCGATGATTTGGAGGCGCATGCACAGAAATTAGTGCAGGAGGGTATTGGACGCATTGTGGAAGAAGAAATAAGAATTAACCGCAAGAATAATAGGCAATCATTTATTGTCATGTCAGCCGATCGGGAAGGTGTTGAACGTGATGGCATTATATTACTGCCTGTGGGAAGGCGTTATGCTTTTGAGGGTGATTTAGTGCGTGCTTTTGTAATGAATGCTGGCATGGCAGCGACCTCAACCACATCACAACATGCAAAGGATGCCCATGAAACATCAACTAAGGAGGATAAAAAGGACGATGTCGGATCATCTGCAATAACGGGTGGCAAAGAGAATTCATTTTGCCTAGGTAATTTTATTTGAAACAAAATAATAAATATAGTTTGTCAAACCCCTTCTAATACAATTTAATTTGTAGGTGATGACGAGGATCCTTTTGAAGACACCGAATCGCCGGATTCCGATGTCGATGTTGATCAGAATGATTTAGATACATCTGCCGTTGTAGTGCCGGATAATTGCCCAAAATCCTTCGTTATATCTATTGTAAAACAAACGCAGTTGCGAGAAGTTGTGGGCGCTATATCCTTCAAGAATTCCATGAAGCTAAATAACGAAACAAACTATTACAAACTAAAACCGTACGACATGCGCGTTCCAATGGTTTACATTCCAGTAGACGCATGTGCTTCACACATCACATCCGAAAATAAGGCTGATATCTGTGGATTACTTTATTTGGTGCGAATTCTTGAAACCGACATTAATGGCCATTGCATTGGCGAACTAGTACAGCCGGTGGGAAAAGTGGGTAATATGGAGTCAGAACTGAAAGCAATACTTCTGCATAATGGTCTAAAGGATATAAAACCTTTTGACCAACGTTTTAATGATCTATATGCACAACCCGATCAGCCTATAAGTGCATCGGACTTGCGTGGTCGAGAAGATTGGCGAAGGAAATGTGTTTTTACTATTGATCCGCTGACAGCGCGTGATCTTGATGATGCCGTTTCAATGGAGCGTTTGGGCGATGATTTATATGAAATAGGTGTCCATATCTCTGATGTAGCTCATTACTTGGAGGAAGATAGCGAACTGGATAATATCGTTAAGCAACGCGCTACCTCCATATACTTAGTAAACGAAGTTATTCATATGCTGCCGCAAACATTATGTTTTAAATGCTCTCTACTGCCGGGCGAGGATAAATTTGCTTTCTCCGTTTTCTGGCGCATGAATACGCGTGGGGAAATTTTGGGACAACCACGATTCACGCGTACAGTCGTTAATTCGTGCGTACAATTAGCCTATGAGCATGCACAAAAGGTCATTGAAAATCCGGATGAAGAATTTGGTATCGATGATTTTCCGACTATTTGCAACGGATTCAGTGTAGCCGATATTTGTGCAAGAATAAAAATTTTAAATACAATAGCAGAACATATGCGCCAGAAGCGCTTCGATGGTGGTGCACTATCAATTAACAATCCAAAGCTGCGTTTCAATTTAGACCCAAAAACCGGAGAGCCGCTAAGCTATGAAGTGGATAGCCGTTTCGAAGCAAATTTTTTAATTGAAGAATTTATGTTGCTGGCAAATCAATCGGTTGCGCGGTTCATTTTTGATCGATTTCCAAATTTATCTATATTGCGCAATCATGCGCCACCACTTTCGAAATCTATGAAAAATTTGCGCGAGAAATTGGCCAATTTGGGCATGGAATTGGATTGCTCTAGTTCCAAAACAGTCTATGAAAGCATGCAAAAATTGTGTCGTCAAGCTAAGGATCCCCAAGCAATGGATGCTTGTTTGAGCACGTTGCTTACAAAGCCAATGGCACGAGCCAAGTAAGCACGGACTATTCTCGAAAAGTTTTACCATACATTTTGTAACTTTCACTTTTGCTCTTTTTTAATTAGGTATTTTTGCAGTGAAGGCAAATCGGAGGAGGCAGATTTATGGCATTACGCTCTTTCTATACCGATATATACACACTTTACTAGTCCAATACGTCGCTACCCTGATATTCTTGTGCACAGGTATATATGTATATATGAGTAGTAAAAGCGACGTAAACAACGTTATATAAAAAAAATTATTTAAAATGTAATTGGTTATCAGATTGCATAAGTACTCATATGGTATTTTTTTGTATATCACATTTTTAGAGTACTCGCCGCTGCATTAGACTACTGCCCACCGCCCAAACGCACCACAGACGAACTGCACATGCTTGCCAAAATTTGCAATGACCAAAAATATAATGCTAAAAATGCTGGAGATGAATCAATTAATCTCTTCTTTAAACGTTATATCAAAGAAAAGCAATCAATTACATTGCGTGCTGTGGTTACCGAAATCTTTCAGCATCTATTGAATGTGGTCACTATTGAAACTGGACACTCGATAAGTATTAATTTTAAAATGCAAAAAGTATTGGTTGACACATCAAATGCACCTGCATATGTACTCATTG